TAGGTTGTCTGTTAGCTCTGTTGGTGGTTTCCTTTGCAGTGCAGAAGCTTTTTAATAAGATGAGATCCCAGTTGTTGATTCTTTCTGCTAGTTCCTGTGCTACTGAAGGTTTATTGCCATTTTGTAGATTTTCATCCTCTGTCAACTTTCTAACTCCTTCACACCCAGTTTTCTCATGTAAAATATGGGGGAAACCTTATGAAGTTGTTTTGAAAATTAAATGAGTTAATATAAATAAAACACTGACTACCTAACACATAGCAAGTGCTGTGAGTGCTGTACAGGCACTAGCTCTCACTTTCCCTTCTCATATCAAACAGAGAGATGAGCAATTGCAAATTTGTATTGGAATGTTGTACCATCAAATTTTTCATGTCTCTTCTACAATTTCACCAATAGTTTTATTTTATTACTGTTGAACATTCGGACTCCAGAGCAGATACAATCTCAAGCTCTCAGTGGCATTTATTAACCATCTGTCATCCATGTCATAGAACCATGGACATAGGGTTATCTCTAGATAAAATTACATCTAGATGCCCAAAGGTCCCAAATGGGCATATGAAGATGAATGTGTTGATGTAGCTGAGTCTTCTGGATTCTGGGGCTTGAGACCTTCCCACTGGAAATGATGGATGACTTACCCTGTATCCTGTTATGGAATATGAGTCTCATTAAGATAGGGAGTGGCAGTTCCTAGGAGCACCGCACAGTCAAGCCTTGAGTAAGGTTGGGTGTGAAGAGCATGCACCTGGTAAATTCATACCCCTAGGTAACCCTGCGGGCCACAACCAAGTTCTTCCAGTCAGATAGTCATGGAGATGCCACTAGAGGGAGCAGTATGGACATAGCCATAAATATTGTTAAAATTGGTGAAAGTGGGTTCATCTCAGCCTGGATTTGGAAACTCTTTAAGGAAGTGCAAGAACTGCTGAAGAGTAAGAAAGACTGAGGAACCTGGAAAGGAAAGTCCTTTGAGAGAAATAATAAGGTGATAGCTGTCATTTGCGAAGCACTTATTAAGGGGCAGGTATGATTTAAGTGCAGTTAATCTTCACAGTTACCTGAAGAAGGGCCTTACTGACTTCATTTAACAGACAAACCGGTGGCTTGGAGGACCTCATCCAGGGTTACACAGCCTTTAAGTTGAAGATATGGTGTCTAATCCAAGGCTATCTGAATTCAAAGACTTCTTTTACTCAAATTCTGGTGTAAACCAAGTTTGGTAAAGTATCTGATTTGTATTAATTGTTGTATTTGGTTTATCATTTTGCATCAATTTTTTATGCATTAGATTAACCTGTAATGTTCCTTGAGTGTACTGTCCTTCTTTAGTTTTGCTTTCAAAAATGTAATGATCTTACTATGGGACAAAACTTTTTGTCCTTTTATGTTTTCTAAGAGAGTTTATATAGGATTGGAATTGTTTTGTTTCTTGAATGTTTTGGTAGAACTTACTTATTCCAGTGATTTTATATTTCCCTTTTGATAATTTTTACTTACTTCTATTGTTTTACTCAATTTCTTTAATGTTATAGGACTAAGTTTTTTTTCTTTAACACAAGGCAATTTTGTTTCAGTTTTCTGTGAAATTGCCCATTTTATCTAAATGGTAAGCTTTTTAAAATGTTCTTTCATTAATTCCTGATGCATTTATAAAAATGTGATCCACTTTCATTTTTATTTTTTTGTACCGGGGATCAAACTCAGGTCCTTGTAAGGCAGGCGGCAGAACCACCCAGCTAAATCCCCAGCCTCCACTTTCATTCTTACCACTGTATATTTGTGGTTCTTTTTCTTAGTATTTCAGGGCCACATAGTGTATGTATATGTAACAATTACAAGCCAAACTTTTGAAATATTGGTTAAAACAGATCCTACCTTCCTACTTTGACAAACATACCTTCATTATGAAAGGGAAAGCATATTTGAATTTAGAATTCTTAGAAACTTTAAGGTTCCATGTAGGGCTGTGGAAGCACAGGGAATATGCACTTGGCTCACGGTTTCTTCTCTTCCCATCCCGACTCTGTCCCACACCATAGGAGGTTTCACACTGTGCCTGTGAACTTCTCAACCTGTACCTCACACTCACTGCTCCAAATCTACTCTCCTTGACTATTTCTCAGCAAGAAAGCGCTGAGCACCTTGGCAAGGAATTCCAGGGCACTGCTGTGGCCCAGTGTGGAAGAGAGGTGGTGAGTGTAAGCACCCTGGGGTGCACTCCCTTCCCCTGCACTCTGCCTCTGAGAGGGCTGTGGCTGGAGGAGACCCGGGGTAGGGCTCTCTATATCACGAGGACCATGGGAGGCCCTCTCTTTCTGCACTGATACATCATACTGGTTTAATTTGTTAATGAACAAATGGCTTTGACTTTATTGACCCTGTTTATTTTATATTTTCTATCTTTAGATATTGTTTAGAAATAATAGCATTATTATGTAAACAAGTATATTAAAATTGCCTGTGAATTAAATAGCCACAAATAAGGAATGTTTAAATTCTAACCATACTATGGCATTTATTAGTTTGTCTTAAAAAATGAATCTAATCTATCAATATTGCTCTGGGAATATATTCGTACTATGTTAAATGGAAAATGATGTTGGTGACTGACATATATAGCCTAATCTCATTTCTGTTAAAAAAAAAAAAGAGAAGCCTATGTGGGATGCATATGTATGATTAAGAAGATATCAGCATAAAAGTTGGGAAAAATATTCATCAAAATGTAAATATTAGCTTTTTCTGGACAGTAGATTTAAAAATTGAATGGAAACATAAGTTTTATTTCTGCCTTTAAACTTGTCGACTTAAACTTCTGAAACTGTGAGCCAAAGTAAACCTTTCCTCCTTTAAGTTGTGTGTTCAGCTATTGTATCTCAGTAATGAAGAGAGTGACTAAGACAAGGATTTTGTTGCTTTCTTCTCTGTTCTATCCCATGTGTCTTTATAGTACTGGAATAGGGGAAATGAAAATTTGGATTTGTTGAGTAAGTAAATGAATAATGAAGAGGCACTTATGACTTAGATTTCTAGCTTAGGAGTCTGAGTAAATGTAGTGCCATCTACTCCACAAATATGAGGACAGATGGAGGTATGAATGTGTTGAGTCTGAAGAGCTGTGTTCATATGGAAAAAATATCTGGCAGGCATCACACAAAGGGAACTAAAACTCCTGAGAGAGATCTAAGTCAAAGACATCAAGCTAATTCTTGTTGTTGTTGTTGTTTTTGGTACTGGGGATCGAACTAGAGTCCTTGTGCTTGCGCAGCAGGAGGAGAAACCACTGAGCTAAATCCCTGGCACTAATGCTTATTGTTATGTAATTGTAGCTGAAGTTATGGGAATACATGGGCTGGTTCATGGAGAGCAGATACAGTGAGAAGACAGGAGGCACCTGGACTTGGGACAATCAACATTTGAAGGGAGGATCTTGAAGAAAACTTTGAAGGGGATTCCTGAGAGGTAGAGGGAAAAAATGATGTTACTGAGACAAGAATGCAAGAGAGTCAAATACTGTCAAGGTGCTACTAAGATGGGAACCAAAAAGTGTTCGTGAGATTTGTTAACTTTTGTGAAATTATAGGGAACATGAATGTGGTAGTGTAAGGGTAGATTGCTCCTTGAAGTTTTAACAGCTAAACTTTTCCAAAGGGAGATTATGGCATGCTTATGTTGAGTATTACATCCAGTTCAGTACTTCATAGTTTACAAGGAAGAATTTGGGAATGCTTCCGAAGAGAGTCACATGGATGGCTATATCATCATAAAATAAGACCTTGAAGGTATTAAGACAGCCATTTTCAAATATAAGGGGTGCTGCATCTCAGAAGAGGGTTATTATTATTATGATTTTGGGTACCAAAGATCAAACTTGGGACCTTGCGCTTGCAAGGCAGGGAGCGGAACCACTGAGCTAAATTTTCAGCCTGAGGGTAATTATTTTTGTTTTTTCTCTTCACAGGAGAGAGCATAGAAAAGGATGTCAGCTGCATCATACAGACTGAAATTTAGATATCAATAGAACAGATTGCCTGACAATGTGATCGAATGTTCAATAGGTTAAAAAGCTGGCCTGAAATCTTTTCTTAGAGGCCTCAAAAATATTACATTAACAATTTTGGAATGAGACCTTGAAGAGTAAACATTAGTGATTTTGATTAATCCTGTTTGGGAGAGCCGAGTTGGCCAATGGTTGCAATAGCTCAGGGCCTGGCGTGCACCTTCCTCCAGCTGCACACTGAGTCTCTTGCCAGCAAAATTGAGCTGATTGGACACAAAGCAGTTGTTTGTAAGTCCCAGTGAGCCTTTCTATATCTCAGAGCCTGGAGCTGCTTACAGTGCTTCCTGTGGACTTCAAGTTTGGACCAAAAAAACTTGAAAAATCCATCTGACATGGACTGATTCTTAAAATCTGGAATGTAAGATGATTTTCACAAAAGCAGAAGGCAAAGCGGAAATCTCAGAGTACTATATGTCGTTGTGAAGTTTCGAGGCCTAATAATCTATTTGTTTTTCTCTCAAATTAAATGGATGAACAATTTATTGTGGATGGTTTATACCCTCTTAGCCATCTTGCAGCATTGTGAGCCCCTGCCCAGTCCTATCATCAATTATAGTTTTTGGTGGGAAAAAGAGTATAAATTAACTATATTCTCTTCATTCAAGTATTCTTTTATTCTTTTAAAAATCTATCTTTGTGTGAGAAGGATCTTATTAATCTTTTAAAAAAACCAGTGGTTTTTATGAAATCTTTTCAATGACATATGTCACATTTTAATATGTTCATTGGTATTATAAATTTTGTGTTTATAAATGTCTGTAAAAATGTATTGACATAGATGTTATTAAACTCACAAACAGGAAAAAGAGAGAATTTTTACTTAATACAAGCTTTGTGTTATGATGCCCGCCAAGTTTCATATGGTGGGAATTTTAGAATGGTTGTTGATTTTTATTTTACCTAACATAAATTGTTATTTAACCAGTAATAAATAAGATAAGCAGCTATTTCGATGGCTAATTGTTTGTACATGTTTATCTTTGTATATGTTTTCTATTCTGACTCCCTTTTTAGATTGGTAGTTTGTTTAAATTAGTTACCTTAGGACCAAAAACAATGAGAGCGTACCAGTTATAGCCAGAATAAAAATACTGGTTCCTATTAAATGGAATAAATAGCTATAATTCTAGATTCATTATTTTAATGCATATGTACTTAACTTAGTCATTCTGTTATGTACTTATTCATGTAGTGGTTAGTTGATGCCAGGAATCATGTTAAACACTGATGAGGAACAGGTACGTAAAACAAATAAAGTTCATTATACTAGTTAAAGCCCTTTGGATTATATGTGACAGAGAACAACTTAAACTAGTTTAAGAGAAGTGGGAAATTTATTGGCCTACAGAATCCAGTGACCTTTTAAACAAGCAAAGCATGAAAAGATCTGGATACAGCCAAGCCTTAGGGACAATTGGCAGCAGTAATCTTCCCTACACCTGAATTTCTCTGCTTTACCTGTGCTTTTCCCCACCACAAACAATATTTATTCACTGTAGTGGTGAACTCAGTGTTGCAGCTCCTGCTTTCCATTTAGGCTGGCCTCAGAATTGAGGCATCCTCCTGTCTCAGCCTCCCGAGTGCTGGGATTACAGACATGCACCACCAGCTCCCCCCCACTTTTGAAGCTTGAGTTAAATAAATTCTTGAAATATTGTCTGATAAGTCCAGGATTTCAATTTCAGATTAAGCATAACCATTTGAAAAATGCTCATGTAAAAATATGGTGACTTTTTATAGAGATATATAGATAAATATGTGAAAAAATTATGAAAGAATTCCAGTCTGATGAGTCATGCCTATATGGGAGACTTACAGGGGCCTTGATCGAAATCTGAGTAGATGCAAATAGCAAGCAATAAGGTTTCTCTCACTTTAGGAATTCAGTTGACTTCCATAGGGAAAAGGTAACACTTGAGCTTGGCTTTGAAACGTATAGCTGTTCTTCAAATGAATTATGGAGTAGGAGGAGTGGGAGGAGGATGTAGGATTGGTAAGTGAGGATGTCTAAAGAGGTAGATTGGGACCAGAACTGTGAGGACCCTATATATCACATTTTGTCTTGTAAACAAATACTAAAAATACTGCTTTTTGAAAGCAGCACCCATAAAGTTCTTTACATTTTTTTCAAGATAAGAAAAGCATACACATCATTTTTTTTGTTTAATCAGAATATAGAAAACATAGTTCTCTTAAAAGGCCAGCATTTTGAAAGGAGGTGCATATATAATTTTTAAAAAGTATATATGAATTTTAATAAAAATTGTAAATTCTTTGTGATGCACTGTTAAATATATGATATATTCTGTTAGGGTTTGACATTTGGAGGAGGGGTGAGGAAGGACTCAAGGAACCAGAAGTTTGGGAAAGGTAAGAGCTGGCCTAAGAGGTAGAGTTGAGAAGATGTACTGAAGACAAAAATCTGGTTTTTAAGTTGGAAATAAACTGCTTACAGAAAGAAGCGGTCTAGGAAAAGACAAAATGATTCCATATGTGGGTAGAAATTTTGAGTGGTGACATATTTCTGAATGTGAGCTGACTTCAGAATTATAATTAGAATTGAAATGAACTTGAGAATTGGAATTAATAGTCTATGATAATAAATTTCATTCTAAGCTATTTGACTTGGGATTTTCAACTATAGACAAATGCCCAATTAAATAGGTAGGAATCATTATGAATAGGTATGTCTTTTATATCATTCAATAGAACCAACTCTGTGTTGAGCACATAGAAAGACTGACCTTTTGATTGATTTGTAACAATTTGACAAGTATGATGATTAAGCTTGCCTGTGTCAACTTGAATGACACCCAAGATATTGGTGGAGCACACTTATGGGTGTGTCTGGATGGATCATGGAGATAGGACCTTGCACACTATATCTGGTACCTTGTCCCTTTCTCTCTGGTGTTTTTCCCCTGCATTGCTTCCTGGCCACTATGAACTAGGTGGCTTTGCTATGCCATGACATTGATGTTTCTCCCTTAGATCCAGCCAACCATGGACTGAATCCCCTGAAATCATGACATAAATTAAGTGTCTCTTTCTTTAAATTGTGAAGTTGTGTCTGTATTGTGTCCCAGCTATGGGAAAACAACCTATATACAAGTATATTTTATAAGATATAGTATGTAGTATTTAGGTAAAATACAGCTCAATTAATTAATTGCTTTATTTGAAAATGAAATTTAGGTAGTGCGGAGTTTTCTCTAAATAATGGGCTGATTCCTTACTTTTCCAATCAATGCAATGAACCAAGACTTATAATGCAGTGTGTGGTTAGGTATTTGTTTTAATTTGAAGATTTGCTTGAAGTGAAGCACATTTCAGAATGATAATACAGGTTCCTCTTGCAAGCTTAGTATCAAGCTTTTGTTTTGCTGTACTTGAATATGTACTTTGGCTGAATAAAACAAACATAGGTTTCAATCCAATTTAATTCCTGTTCAAAGTAGTTCTCCTTATTTGTTCAAGAATTTTAGAACTAATTTTTTGAACTTATTGTGAGCATTCAGTCTCTATTTATTTCAGAAGCAGCAGACATCCCAGGGATTTGGGAATGATTCAGACTTATGGGTAAGAAGCAGATCATGCTATTTCAGTCATTTTTTTTTATATTTGTTTTTCTTTTCTTTTTCTTTTGTTCTTTCTTTTTTTTGGCTAAAATTCTTTTATTGGTACATTTTAGGTATACAATGCATTTACATTATCATTGGGTGCTTGTACCTGTACACGATGTATCTTGGTTCTTATTTTTTCTCCATTACCTGTGTGCCCTTCACCCTCTTCACCCTTCCCTATTTACATGGACTTTGTTTCCATTTTTTTCTCTCATGATTTTTCCTTTCCTTCTTTCCTTTCCCCTTCCCCTTCCCCTTCCCCTGTACCTTTTGACCTTTTCTTCTTATGTCAATTTATCAATTATTCTTTTTAAACATTTTAATCCTTACTTACTCTTTCAGTTTCTCACTAGAGTTACTATTCGATATTTACACATGTGTGTCCTATTTATTTCACTTAAGAGTATGGCCTCAATATGCATCCATTTAGCTATAAATATTTCTAGTTTCTCGTTCTTTATGGCTGAGTAGTACTCCATTTTATAAAAAAAACACATCTTCTTTATCCAGTTTCTGGTTGATGGGCACTTGAGCTGTTTCCAAGTTTTAACTATTATGAACTGTGCCATTAGAAACATGGTATCACTGTGGTATGAGTTTTTAGTTCTTTGGGGAAGATATCCAGCAGAGGAATATATGGGTCAAATGGGACCTCCAGTCCTAGTTCTTTAGGGTATCTCCATACTGATTTCCACAGTGGTTGCACCAGTCTGCACTCCCACCAACAATGGAGAAGGGTTCCTTTCTTCCTA